TCAGTGCAGAGACTGTTTCAGCGCAGAGTAATCAGTCACTCACATAGTCCTGAAATGCGTGACTGTGAATCAACGAACAGAAATCCTTGGAGCACTGAAGTCACTCCATGAATCCTGCAAAGTGCCCAGAAAACTTCGAAGTTTCTAGAAGGAGCTGGACTGGCTTTAGCGAGCACGCACCACGGACCCAGTGGGCGTCTAAGTGCGGAAACTTAATCTACACAACATTTATAGACATAGACTCCACAAAATTCATGAAGCTAGTTTTAAGTACTCATTGTTACTCCATATAGATTATGAAGTGTTTCGATCGATTTGGACTGTATCATTCGGTATGTATTCGAGATAACTATGTTTCAATTTGCATCCGTCCTTCTCAAAAAGCTAGATTAACTAGATGTGCCCTAATATAGGTTTTAAAGTATTAGGAATCAAACTAACACTGTAAATGGTATTAAGATTGATTTTTATATTTTATGGATCAAATTAAGAATAAGTCAGACAGAAGTATGGTAACATTAAAAAAACTTACAACTAAATTTTACTATATATACCTGTTGGTTGGAGGGGTTCAGGGATTTCTTCATCATCCAAATGGCCGGTTCACAGCGTAAGAGCTCATCATAAGAGAATCAGTTGAACAATGAAGATTTGAAAAGAGCGTACCAATTCTTAAAAGGCGCATTTGCAAGCCCTCTGGCAATATAAGTGTCTATGGGTGGCGGTATCACTTAACGGATCAGATGAGCCTCTTACGCGATTGGAACTGTTGCATAAAAACAAAAGAAAGAAGTTAAGTATCACGTGCGAGTTAGTTTCTGTAACGGCACATTAATGTTATTTACCTAATAAACTACAAAAATCCGTTTTTTATTACCGATTCTTTGAGGATAAATCTTCATATTAATTATAGTTGTAAATACGATCCAGTAGATTTATATTTTTGTAAACAGAATCGAATTTAACGAGAGGCGCCGCACTTTGCAATTTAAATGTCGACGCGTCGTGCACAGGAACTTCAATGAATCTAGTGTGTAGCGAGATTTTTTGATTAGTTTTTCTTTCAACCTTTAATACTTTTACTCTTAACTAACGAAACTGGAGTTATAACAGATTTTTTAAACGCGCTTGAATTGTTGAATCCTAGAAATTTTTATGGGCGTAAATTTTTATTTTAGAGTACCACCGCTGTGTACCAATGCAATCTTTCGATGTCCGCACTAATAAAGAGCAAGTACTAATGTACTTGCCACTACGACGAAGGCAATAATCGTAAGAAAACTGGCAAAAAAGAAATAGCTGAGTTTATTTTTCATTATTTTTTTAAAGTACCATGCTTGATTATTAATACAAGATGTGACTTGTAGGTCACTTGTATATTGAAACTCACAGTTATTTTGATTTTAAATAAAAATTGTGTTTGTGCCCAAATCCAATTAGCCATGACAATTATTATTATAAATGCCTTATTCATTACTGCAAGTAATAATACTTCTACATGTTCGAATACAATTTAATATGTATAACCTGAAAAAGGCTTTTGTATTCAAGTCTATTTCCCATATTAACTAATAGCACAAAACAATAAGAACTATTGTTGTCCGAATGCTTTCACTCAGTTCACCTTGTCTTTCTTATAAATCTGGGTCCAAGTGTTGAGCGCTAAATTAAATGAATTTTTCATTGAATTTGTCTACTTTTTGGGTTCTCTATTTAAACATTTCTGTTACGCGTTCGGTACCGCTGGATTGACAGAGTGGAGGGGGGCCATGCAACTGGAAGCCTGCAATTGGTGAGGGGTCGAAAAGGACAGAAAATGCTGGAAGTTTGTTGTCTCGGAGGACACTTTTTGTCTCTACTAACTCTAGTCGAATCTTCATCATCGTGGTCTTCATTACTGAATGTCGTGCCTGTCTTGAAAATCTCTAACACATACGTCAACTTGCTGCCTCCACTACATTCTATCCTCACCTTGTCTCAGTGCATTAGAGAGACCCAAAATTGTCTTAATTTGGTCAGACTAACGGGTAGGCGATCGACCCCGACTTCTGCCATCGCTCTTTCCTATCATTACCAGCTTTGGTTCTCTCCTGGCAATATAGATGAAGTAGCTAAACACCCATTTGTAAATGAAAGTCTACTGTCTTGAGGTGATCTTTAGTTAGTCCAATCACACGCGAACCAACCCAGAAAAACAAACAAAGCAAACGAAATTCGTCATCATATTGTCTATTATTGAAGTGAAACTTCTGTGACTTCCAACAAGATTGCGTTAAACGTTTAACGCTACTGGGGAGGGGGATTAGAAAGAGAAAGAACGAGAGTGAATGCGTGGCACTCGAACGCGCGTAGTATACCTATTACAGGCCATTGCGAGCGTTAGCAACGAGTAGCGACCAATATTTTAACGCAAGAGGGAGAGAGAAAGAAAGATACACAAAGGTAGAAAGTAGGGGACAGAAAGAGAGTGAGTCGGTAGATCCCAAGCACATGCGCGTGGTATTCTTGCTATGTAGCGAAGTAAACAGTGTGAGCGTCGTGAAATTAGTTGAAATACGTACTTGTTGTTCTATTTTATTGTTCTGTTTTAATTTATAATATTCATTATTTCATTTACAAAGATACGATCAATTGTGAATTGTAAGCAATGCTAATAAAGTTTGTCTTAAAGAAACGATATGATTTCACTAAAAATCAATTTCCCTTCCTATTTTTATTTCCACATTACGAAGTTTCACTCCTTCCGCGCGGACTCCACGCACAATTTTTTTATGCCATCTCTTTCCAGGTACTGTCGAATCCAGTACAATAAAAATACAGGTTGCATAAAATCATTAGGTACGCTTAGAATTTCTAAAAGCTCTCATGAATTAAGACCCTAGTACTTCAATGTGTATGTGCAATTAGCCCTATCCTCTGGGAGGCGCAGGGAATGCTTTTAGTAAAACCTTCTTTATTAGCCCAAAATGCTGTTCTACATGTTAAACTGTTTTTGCCAGTACATTGTCGTAATGACTTTTAATGTTGAACTTGGTTCACTCCGGGGTTTAGTTCAAAGATAAATTCATTTTATTTACTTTAATTATCGACTGTTTACCATTTGTTATTTATAAAAATAATTTCATTTTGTCGCCCTTATCTGTCAGGTTGTGTTTATACTTTGATAGAAAGAAATAGTACGACGATGTAATTACTGATGGTTTAAATTAATAATTGACTGTTAGCCGAAATAGCAATGCTTTAAGTAAACAGATAGTCATTCATCAGTCCTTCTCAATAATAAAATTTGTTTCATTACAATTACAAGTGAAAGAAAGAAATGCTGAAATTACATTTTGCGTTATGATTTAAACCCATGAAAGGAATAACTTCTTTTTCTCCGAATAAGTATTTTTCCTGTGGATTGGGGATAAAATAACGCGTTATTAAGACCCAACCCTGAGAATTGCCAAGACAATGAAACATTTAGGCATTTAAAGATAAAAATATCTATAAGAAAAATACCTTTAAACATTAAAAATAATTATTTAAGTATTAGGAGGCAAACGGGCAGGAGGCTCACCTGATGTTAAGTGATAGTCACCTAGCACTTACGAGCCTAAGTGCGTTGCCGCCCTTTCAATAATTGGTACGGTCTGTTCTTGAACGACCCTAAGTCGAATTGGTTCGGAAATACTTCAGTGGGCAGCTGGATCCACATAGCGGTGGTGCGCGGCAAAAACTGCCTTAAAATCCGCTCAGTTGTGTAATGAACGTCGAGGTGATACGGATGGTATTTTGTATTCTGCCTTGACTTGAAACTCAGCTGCAGGTATTAGTCCGAACAACTCCTCTGAACACTCTCCATGGTAAATGCGGTAGAAGATGCAGAGAGACCCTACATCTCTACGCAATGCCAAGGGATCAAGCCGCACGGAAAGTGACCGGTCGGTGACGATTAGAATCACTCTACTAAAATGAAATTCCAGGGTATGTGTGAATTGCTTTTATTTTACAGTTTTACTAAACACCAACAGTAACGTTTTAACCACATCTTAGAACTATTATATAAATTGTCAGAAAATGAATATGCTTGTTTTTAGTATTAAAAGTTTTAGTAGAATATGATACATATAAAATCTAAAAATAAAAAAGTAAGGGAAGGATGCGGCAGGTTTTCAATAAGTTACATATTAAGTTCATTTTAGTCTTCCTTTGAAAAATATACAGCTTTAATTAATGCAAATTATCTAATAAACTAATTAAACTTATGACCTCGAACTAAATTGGCAATTATTGTTTATTTTTAATCATTCTTCAGTCATCAATAATTAATTATTGAATATATATTAAATGTATTGATGGTGTAATTAGAAAAATAAATTTTTGCGCTTTGCAGGCGTATTTGGAACTATATAGTAGTATCCTCTATCTCTGGGTTTACCAAATTGTTAGGGGTTTTGAAAAATTATTAATGTTATTTGGAATTTGAATTTCAGTTCCCTAGTAATTATATAATCGTAAAACCCTTCAATTTTTTTAATAATAAAAAAATATGTTTGTTACATTCATAAGAATTTTAGAAAAGCTAAGGTGGGGAAAAAATGATTGGAAAACACTGCTCTATCTAGTTCCGTTTGAAAGTGAACTTTTTCGTATGCAATATGTCGGAGCGATGGCGCTGGTATCAGCTGTCATTGTCATTATAATTTAATAACATCAAAGTCAAATTAGTTCAAAACTATTCTGTGGTTTATTTGATTTGCCACGTAACGTAACGTTAATAAACATAAAAATACATAATATTTGTAAGAATCTGCCGCATACTATAAAATCGATCTACTTTACATATTAAAAATTCAATTTGACATAGACAGGTACAATTTGCGCGTTCATTTATGAGTGGCACACTGGCCATATATTACAAATAGTCAATTGCAACCCAGCCTTACAATTGACAGTTATCGAAGTTAATACTAGAGTATTAAATAAAATGTATAAGGGCGTGTCAGTCGTTTTGTTTAATTTTCTTCTGAAGCAACTCGCTGAAAAAAAATACATTTAAAGTTATTTTCATTTAAGCACGTATGTATGATTCTTGTTTTTATTAAGAAGCAGACAAACCCCGTATTAAATAAAAATAAATAAATTCAGAAAGCTCGTGAGTCAGCAAGCTTATATAAACTAGTTAGGCTCATTTAAATAAAGGAGTTTTAATAATATTAGGTCGGATATAAAAGGAAGACTCTAAAAACAAGTAGATCGCAGCAAAAAGTGCTTTATGCTAATTTAGCACGCACTGAACAAACGTTAAATATTTTATTAATAATTAAATATCCATACCATTAACTGCCATAGTTTTAACTTCGATAGTAAATCGTCATCCAACATTGGTTTGGCTTCCGGTAACTTTGATGCAAAATCAAGAGGTACTTCTTCACTATCCCTCCTGAAAGTATAGTTAAAAATATATTAGGGAATAGCATTTCATTTTTATGCTAATAGCATTACAATGAAAACTTTACTAAATATATTAAACTGCTATCTATCTTCTATCCAGGTTAATTTTGATTATTATTTTGTCTTTAGCGCCATCTGTGTATCTTACTACAAACTACGATAGCACAAAAATTCGAATAACTTACTCGAGGTGGTGGGCGTTCGGTGCATTGTTTTCAAAAACCACTCCATAGATGTCACTTGAATCTTCTTTTTTAATTTCGGAGTTTTGGTCGTGGTTCTGTAAATTAAAAATAAAACTATAGTTTTGGTAAATTCAAAATATTTATAGAACATATAGATTGAGAGTCATTGGTACATATCGTACTCAGGGCATTTTGAGTTGTCTTTTGTTTAAAATATGTATAGTTTTAATAACGTAATAAAAATACACTACCATAACGTTCTGTGCAGCAATTTGCCGAAGCATTTTCGTGATGTACCAATCTGGGGGCGTTGCTGGGGCTGTCGCTGGTGGTTTTCCGGATCGCTTGCCGTGAGCTGAAAGTAGAAATTAAGTATATTAATAATATTTATACGTGAATGAGGATCAACTCAATATTGTTCATTGCTATTATCAAAATGATACAAGGGTGATCAGAACAAGTACTTTGTAGATTTTTTAATAATTTATATAATATGCATATTATAATATATTTTTTAGAAGTGTTATGCCAATATTAACTTAAATGCGCTATCTTAGTCAAAGTCAAAGATATTCCTATAGAGTTCACGAGTAGGTACAAAGCCGCGCAGGTCGCCGTTTCAAAATATAATTTGGATTAAGCCACCATTTCCGCATTAAAAAGATAATCCCCTTCCATTTTCTATTGGTATTAGAATGAATCAATAAATGGTTTAAATAAAGTTTGGAAAAGGTTTATTATACAAAGTATAATAAATATTTTTTATATATACATAACTACACACTTCGAGATATTCACTTTACGAGCCCTGAAGATGCGATGAGTGAATTCAAAAATACCGTAGAAGGATCATCTAAGGATGGGATTAGTGTTTTGCTTTTGTATCGTACGCACGGAAAACTTCGTTTCTAACATTATAAATATAAATTTTATTCATTGAATTAAGCGTAAGTTGTTTTCTAAAAACTGTGACATTTTTTTACTGAATTTTCGGTGACGGGGACTTTAGAATAATAATTATAATGTCTCTCTATTTAATTAGATCTTCCGTTAAGCTAATTAAACGAAAACTCTTTTTCATGTAATGTATGCTACAATCAGCTACGCCGTAGCTTGCTACGATCGACTAACCAACGGTCAATGTGATGCTGAGAATATCATAAGGTTTCACGTTCAAAATCGTGTTTTATACTTAGTAAACATTTTGGCCTACCAACGTGTTAATGAATAAGTTTATGGTCTGACAAGCATAGGACCTTGTGGTTGCCTTGCACCCAACGATGCTTTTGAGTGACGAGAAAAGGAGACTCAGAAAGAGAAGGTTTTACTCGTGTTGTGGCACAATGCTAGTTATATTATTTTCTGTCCTAGCCGCCCGTCTTTCATATGCGACATCTTGATCCGTATCGCAAGGTGACGGTAGTATCGTAATTGTTACCATGGCAACCATGTTTGTTAAAATTCATGCACCCACAATGTCATTAGAAACGACTTAACCTGTTTTATAATAGGATTACAGGCTGTTTTTAATTCATTAGGCTCAGTATTAATATTCATACGACATGTTTAGGCGGGAACACCGTGTTACTGATGAGTTGAAACCTCCGCCATTTTGTTTAATATGATATTAATCATTCTAAAATAAGTGGTTTTATTTTAGGATGTCATATTTATTTCAAACTAATTATATATATTACATAAAAACATGTACAGGCTCCTGATATAATCTGTTGTTATTTGTCTAATATATATAATTGACGTTTATTGAGATCTTCGTTATATGATTGTTAAGGAAACTAAGCGTTAACTAAACTAAACGTTAAGTGATTCCGTCAGCTAAAAGCCATAAAATGGCGAAAAGTGGCATAGGCAGTGGAAGTTTCTCGTTTTAGAATCTCATCAGCTAACCTTAAACATTCACTGGTCCTTTTCGACATATCACTTTAGTAAAATGTTGCCGATAAAAATGAATGTAATCGCCAAAGGTTGATATGAGTGCTCCAACGTATAGGACGACCTTCTCTTAGCACTGTCAAACGTCGAATCAACTACACCGGTGCGTGCTACCGAAACATCGCGTAAAACTTTGCGAGAAAGTGAGGGTAGGCTTGTGATTGAATATTAAACTATGTACCCGCTTATCCTTGCAATTACCGAAAAAGTACATTTATATACAAATTGTGTACAATATTATATTATTATATTACATTGGACATGATTGCATTTGTATTAATTTCACACTCATTTGAATATAATCAAACATATCGCTTATGAATGCACTTAACGGACTGTTTTGGAACCTGCTTTGATCCAAAAAATAATAATTCAGAAACATTGATCATTCGACATTCAGAATATACGATAAACTGCATTAAATTTGATTTTGTTTCAGGAGTTAAACCCACTAATAATGTAATCTGTAACATACAACTAATATAAATGTTAAAATGTATAAATTTTATAAATACGCCGTACCATTAGGTATCTTTTGAATGAAAATAAAAGCCTTTACCTACCTAAATGAGATTATAGTTTCATACAAGAATATGAAGTTCATACATAAATGTAACATAAATGTTTTGAAATATATTACGTAGAAAAAATACATTCCATAATCTTCGTAGGTTAATCTAATCTAACTTCCTAAGGGAAGTACTCATCATACCAGTATATATCAGATGTACAATAATATCTCTATTGTGTTTACAAATTAGTTACTATTTTGTGCCGTGACACGAATTTTTAATCATTTTATTAACGTTTTGACAAAAGTTAAGTTTTTTAGTCGATTTAGGAAATAAACTTCACATATATAAAACAATATCGCTAGAATCCACAGTTTTGGTCAAATCCTTTATTTCATCATGGGTCAGTATTTTGTGCCTTAGGCGAGGTGTCGATTTTAGAGCCTTAGATAGCGTTGGTTTTCTCACGAAGTTTTCCTTTACTGTATTAGCAAGAATTATGCAAATATGTAAAAAGTTCTATGTTAACTCAGTGGTTTCAAAACACGACCTAAGGACTGACAGTCTCGCGCTTACCTATTTAGCCAAGACTAGACCTGTCACAAACTTTTTCAGCATAGTACGTTTTTGGTTTACAGGCGAGAGAGAGATAGTAGAATGACATTTAAGTACACAATTACCTATTAACACGCAATGTTAGCATTTGTATCACGGAAAGTAACTAACCAAAGTAACTAGTCGTGAAGCTCCGAAAAATTATTTGATAAATCAAATTTCCGGTTTAATATCTCTTAAATTTTGTTTCGTAACTAGCGAGCGCGTTATCGTTTTATTCCAAACAATTTACACAAAACCTTAACAAGTTATATACTTAAACGGCCCTCATGAATTTCTTAATTTGTTCGCGATAACTGAAAATCTTAGTTGTTTTTGAGTTTAAAACGAATAAGCAGGCGTAGCGAAGAAGACAAGGATTTTGTATTATAATACACTAGCTGCCTCCGCGAACTTCGTTTCTCCTTAATGTGATTTTACTTAGCCTACCTTTTTAGTACATACCAACTTGAAACATTTTGCAATGCTACCACAGACACCCCTTATCACTTAGGGGTTTGAAAGATAGATAGTAGATTCTCAGACTTACTGATTATGCATAAACAAATTCATAAGAATCGGTCGAGCCGTTTCGGAGGAGTATGGGAACGAACATGTGACACGAGAATTTTATATATAGAGATTAAATTTATGAAAGCTAGGTCGACACCTAAGTTCAGCGTACAACTCTCTCCCTTGTCGCTGATCTCATTGCTTTAGCAAGGTTCGACTCGCGGCTGTTACCACCAATGGTAGTTTCTTTCTTTATGCTATGATAGCGTGAGGTGGGCAGGCTGATCTATTTACCAATTAAAAAGATCACGAAATATCACAGAAAAATAGTTTTTTTATTAAATCAGATAATTATACTATCCACATAAGATTTGCTTTAGAATTTGGTTAATGATAAGGATCGTTGTTAGTTCCGGCTTCAAGCATTGTACACACAATGGTACTTCCTCTTAATTAGCTGTACTACATCATAGCAGTTGTGGAATAATAGCTTGGTACTATTTGTGACATAATAATGTCGTCGCTATAAACGTATGCACATACTAAATTCCAAAAATCTTTCAGTGCATTGAAAGTCACTTTCGTTGGCGTCATATTGTGCCAGGTCTGTGTGGTAGTAAAAAAAAACAGGGAAAGGATAGGTAGAAGCTTGTATATGTAGACCAGTTCTAGGAGGGAGTCACAACTGTAATGTTAATGACAAGGACTTGCTCATTTGAACAAGATTATTAGAAATAATAAAGTGTCCAGGTGTAAAGCACCAAACAGATATATGCCGTATTAACACTACGTATAAACATTAATGAAATAGGTACAGAAATAAAATAATCTAATATATAAAATTCTCGTGTCGCGGTGTTTGTAGTTAAACTCTTCCGAAACGGCTTGACCGATTCTCATGAAATTTTGTATGCATATTGAGTATGTCTGAGAATCGGACAGCATCTATTTTTCATCCCCCTAAATGTTAAGGGTAGTCCACCCCTAATTTTTGTTTTTTAATTTTATTTTATATTCTAGGCTATAGGTATAATAGGTCTAAAGCTACTTCTAATTACACATCTATCTGATTGAATTTATAATTGCAAGCGAGTTGCTTCACAATGCATTGGAGATTTGAACGTGGGAGAAACGAAAACATCGAAAAAGGTTAAAAACGAGAGGTAATCATCACTTTTGTACCAGTTGCTAATGTTCATTTGGAAAGTAAAACCAAATCGAAAAAACCTGTATATTTCCTTAAAACACACTGATTATTTTTGGGCTTTTAGCTTTAATGAATACTTTCTTAAATTTAGATACATATTAATATTTTCCAAACAGCATCGTAAACTTGGCTTTGAATGTTTTTACTACTTTTAATATATTTTGTAGATCACGCAGTTAATAAAAGAGAAAACATATAAAAATTAGTATCCTAGACGCCGAAACTTTATTACAAACAGTAAGACAATTTTAAGTATACTATTGTATTATCTGAAAAAAATCTATATCAAGCCTCGGAAAAAAATCACCATGTTTTTGCTAGTTATATATAACTTTGTAGAGTAGTTTTGGCCTAGTGTAGTAGTAGTAGGTTCGATCTCCGGCTGTGCACCAATGGACTTTCTTTTTGTGTGCGCATTTAACATTTGCTCGAACGGTGAAGGAAAACATCGCGAGGAAACCGACATGTCTTAGATCCAAAAAGTCGACGGAGTGTGTCAGGCACCGGAGGCTGATCACCTACTTGCCTATTAGATTTAAAACTGATCATGAAACAGATTCAGAAATCTGAGGCCTAAAGAGCTTGTAGCGCCACTGATTTATTCTTTTATATATAACCTAGTATAACTAACTGTATACAGTTATGTATACAACGTGTAATGCAAAAGATGACATATATAATATATATACACAACATACACATTTGGCCTGCGCCCAATCAGGTTTTCCCCTACAAGAAGTATGGGAATGTGCAGGTGTCGTTGACATAAGGATTTACAGGCAGCTCATCATCGATAAGCGATCTTTGATAACTCTACGATCTATCGTCGCCATGAGCTTAATATGACACTGCAATTTCATAATGACAATTATTTCGTGTTATCTGTGACGTATAAGGACTAATTTATGTGTGCTTTAAATAAAAGATAAATCAGTGGTGCTACAACCTTTGTATGTTTCATGATCATTTGTCAATGTAATTGGCAAGTAGGTGATCAGCCTCCTGTGTATACGCCGTCGACTTTTGGGTCTAAGGGAAATGGATTTTTACTTTTTACACGATGCTTTCCGACGAACGGCTGTTAAATGCGAACATAGAAAGAAAGTCATTTGGTGCGCAGTCAGGGATCGAACCTGCGACCTCAGGGATGAGAGTCGTACGCTGAAGCCACTAGGCCAGCATACGTAAATAATAAGAACTATACGAACCCATATCGCCCTTGGTCGTGGATTGCAAATGTTCCTTTAGATTTACCGTTTGAAAATATATTTTTTCGGATAATTATTTAGGTACATCTAAATAATCATTGACATTTTTGTGACAAATTTTCCACTCTTAACGTCATACTTAAATCTGTTGGTATGACATATTCAACTTGTTATTGTATTATGAAATATAATTAAATAGTAAAAAATTACATAGTGTCTTCCAGTTATCAACTAGTAAATGTACTTACCTCCCCAACATGAATGCCCGTAGCTTAAGCAGGACCCTGGAATTAAAAATTAAAAGGTATTATTTTCTTGTAGATAATAATAACTTAAATAAGACAAATATATTTTTCAGAAGTCTGTGGTAAATTTAAAATAAATATAAATTATATACATAAAGTTATAATATAAAATATGTTTGTTCTGAGACATTTTATGTTGCAATGGATGAATTCCTCCATCGCCCTAACTCAGTCAGATTGTTCTTTTTATGGAATATTCACTGAATATTAAAAGGACTATCGAAATCCCAACAACCACCAAAGTGTTGAAGATATAATTTCTACTTTCTAGAAAAAAATTGTAGTCTATTTTTTTTAAATATTGTTTATTCGTACTTTTTCACGAACTAAACCCGAACCATATAATGTTTTCCTATAATACACATAACACCGATGGTAAATTACAATGAAAGCGCTGTAAATCCTTCATTATACGATTACGACGATTACGATATTAAGATTATTAAAACATAATATTACATTTAAAATGTTATACTTAAGTTACTATGAAAAGTCATGTTTTAATACACTAAAGCAAATCTATTGTACCCCTACTTTATACTGAGTAGGTGAATATTATGATGCACTCCGTTCATATTAGCCCATAAACGCATCACGTGCATTACGGGAGTGGCTACGATCTAATAAGACACTAACTTGGCCCATTGCCTTGTTGTAAACCTAAGATGGTTAAATTAAAGGTTCTTTTAAAGGGAAACATTACGAGTAAGATTCTAAACAGATGATGTTGCGTAGTCAAAATGTTTCAGTAACAACAGGGTATTGTTTCATTAAAAATTGTTTTGATTTACTAATAAATAAGATTTTTAAACTTCGAAGGAATTAATGAGTATTTCCCGTTCTTAAAAAAATATACCAATCTCCAATATACAATGTTATAAAGTAGGGTTTCTAGTATTTTGTCAAATTAGGATAAATAGCGCTTTAGGGTTAAATTCGTGGTAGTTAATAATAACGTGAATTCATGGAAGGTTCGTGTTGGTATTATAACTCCATTGTATGTACACTAGAAGGTAATGACTTCATTTCAAGCCAAACATTTACTTCCAAAAAGGAGGTTTCAATAAAGAGGTTTCATTTCATCGAAACTTTCTGTATAAATCTGACGAGGATTTAAAAATAAGAACCTACACATTAATAGTGAATTCTTTAAACTGTATTAACATGAGTAACAGGGTTGGTAACATTAGTAAGTATTATTACGGCCTCCGATAGCATATTCATTACATAGGTTACAATATATTATTTTGAATACATCGACGCGCGACGTCGAGATTAGAAATAAATTTGTACCGTATATTTAAAATATATAGGAATAGCATGCATCAATGATTAACAATTTTAATACATGATACTGGTACTACATGGTACTTTCAGTTCCCTAGCTGATGATAAATAGGAATATTTTAAATAGAACAGTTGGTGTTTAATGTCCTTTATCGCGTTATTTACGAGGAATTAACCTTGACAATGCACTTCGATGAAAAGCCTGAGAGCTTATTAAATTTTCCCAGAAACGGGTGCAAGCAAGGCTACCAGTTTCCGTGAAAACATTACACTATTTAATAAAAATGCAAACGCATGCATATTTCTAATTGCCTGATCGTTGCATGATAATAATTACAAGCGACAATTTCAAATGCAGTGTAATTAATCAATAGAGGTAGCATTCTACTGTGCAATAAGCCCATGCAATTACTGTGCTGTCTCTGGCTCTAAAGTATACTGAAGTAATGATCAACATTTAGTTCGTAATTAGCATATGAAATAATAATTATAAAAATATTAAAAACGCACTTGAAAATGTTTCATACAATTGTTAATACTTTGCCAAACGCATGCTACAACATAAAAATCGACGTGAAAGTATTTGAACAACAGTTTTTATTTAACATATACTACGGAAAAAATGAGCCAAGTCAAATTCAGCACAGTTATCGCAACATACCTCCGCGCTGGCTTCTCCATCCGTTGACTTTTTGGAATAGATTTGAAGGCTTGCTACCTCTACTGTTAATTCTTTGCTCTGTGGATCAAAATTATTAAAAATCATCCATTGCAGTTATTATCAATCTGATGTTATGGGAATATCACTATTGGTTTAATTTTTTTTAGGTGCAAACCATGAAATTAATACTGGCCCATTGTTCCGAAGAAGATTGGGTTTAAAGAAGTTTATTCTCACAAAAATACATCACTTAGATGTGAAAAAAAAATCATATTAAAAACATAAAAAGCTAAATATATCACGCCACCGTTGTACGCTATCCCGTTAGCGTCCATCTAGCAAAAAAACTTCGCTGGCGTATTCGAAACGGGTCCACTGCTACGTGGGTAACACTGAAAATGTTTAGAACGGGCCAGTTAGAAACAGTGCTAATGAAAACTTTTTTGAATATCAATTTTAGAACTCTTTGGTAACCTAATGTAGTATATTGCATTCATTTGTCATTTGTTTTTGTGAATTGGCGGCAAATCTAAAACTCTTATCACACGTGAAAATTAACCTAACGCAACGTGGACGTAGCAATCTCAATGATGATCCGCGTGAGGGACGTCCTTTAACAGCGACTACTGAAGTCTGAAGATAACATCAGTGCTGTGCGACGCATGATAGAGGAAGATAAGAGAGTGACCTATCAGCAGATACGGGCAAGCCTAGGCATTGATATGAGTCAAGTTCAAAAAATATTACACGAACATTTAGGCGTCAGGAAGCGTTGTACCAGATGGATTCCCCATACTTTAACCGACGACCAGAAACACCTTTGCATGGACTGGTGCCGCCAAATGTTAGATAAGTTCAACGGCGGTGACTCAAATGCTGTATTTGACATCGTCACAGGTGATGAAAGCTAGATATATTGCTACGAACCCAAAACCAAAAGACAATCGCCTTACGACTACTAAGGACGAATGAGCCCACTGCTTATCTCAGTGGATCCATCGAATGCGAGTAAATTTAATTCCCGTGTGTATTTGGTTATGTTATTTTTTCATAAAATACTTGTCTAGTTGCTTTATGTTCATTAATTTTGTGTCAATGTATAGTTTGATTTTGTTTAAGAATCGAAAATCATCTACTTCATTTTTACTATTAGTTAATTTACTCTGTATTATAATAAACATTTTACGTTTTATAAGCTGTTATTTGTGCTTGTTTAATTAAGCTGTAAACTTAATGTAACTATTATAATATTTTTAAGTTAAGAAATCTATAACAATAATATAAAAAGAAAGGATTTATATTTTTGTATTTGTAATAAAAATTCTTTCAGCATTGCAATGCATTAATTATATATTATATGTATAAATAATCAACAATAATTTGAGAACTGGCAGTAAATGTAAAATTAGAAGCATGAATATTTATTTCTTTAATGACGAATCACAAGTGTACATTGTGTTACTTACGTGAATAAATGATTTTTGAATTTTGAATTTTGAATTTTGAATTGAACAATTAGTTTCACTTCTCTTTCAACTGTAACATTCTATCAAATTATGTTTACCCTTAATAGGTGAGTTGAAATAATATAGACAATAAATATTCTTACAATAGTCACTCGGCATTATTAGAAATAGATTATTCTAGATAAATAAGTTGAAACAACGGAACGAGTTCTGGAGCAGACGTCAAGCAGTTTAATATCTTTTTAAACGTTTATTGAGTGGAACGAGGAATTGGCTTATTTGAAAGCCGATTACATGGCGGGAATTGTCGTGTCGAGAAAGAACTTTATGGTTTTGTTGAAATGTCATTTTATTGTGGATTTTGTATTGTATTTAAAATTAAAAAAGTATTGTGGCGTAAAATTGTGTGACATATACACAATAATATAACAATAGAGGTGTTCCTTTATGCCTGAGATTTTTGTGTCTGTTTTTTTTCTTAATACCCAAGTAGATGTAGTAGATGGTGATCAGTCATCTGTGCCTTAAATAAATAGATATAAAAGTCTACTGGTGCCGTGATTCGAATACACAATCATAGAGTTAAGATTCGCACGCTCACGCCTCATTGCTTCAACACTGCACTTGGAAATGGGTGCTGATTGATAACAATGAGAAAAGTTGAGGAACGTAACCCTACCGAATTCTACATCAAATTTCGAAGTATAGGCAATTTTATAAAGGCATAATATAGTTTTCTTGGTGCTGGAGGCGAATTAAGAATACCGTGTACTGCGAAGCTCACTAACACATCGATCATGACCCAACTCTGGAATCGCCTATCTACCATTTGCCGATAACGAATTGTATCATATTTCGGGCATACAATGCGCAGAGGCGATGAGAACTTGGAGAAACTGATCGTGGTTGGTACAGAAGCCAAAAGATCTCACGGCCGTTCACCAACCAGATGGACCGATCAAGTGAAAGACTCATCGTCCTCAAAACTATACAGCGTTAGACAAAAACCGAACTGGAACATGAAGATAGTCCGCTCCAGACATGAACTACCGACTTTAGAGATAATATTGTTTTACTTTTTAATTTGTCTCTGTGCAACAATTATTCGTTACTCTGTGCACGCGTGCAGACCTGCCCCAACACTCATGTAAATACTAGTAATATGTGATTATAACGAAGTTCACAACCTTTCACCATTGATTATACTTTTAAGTTAATCAGGCTGGTAGCAAAAAATTCTAGTTTCGAATAGACAATGGGCCATTTGCGTTTATTTATTTTTAACGGCACAAGCCTTCAATATCCTAGACTATCTGATATCCGAAACTGGAACCTGGAATAAAATGCACTACCAAGTAACCAGTGAAGTCTAGTATTTTGTAATTTTATTTTTGTCTTCTTAGTAACGTACTTTTTTTTCCTTACTATGGTTGCCTGGAAGAGATCTCTTGTTAGTGACAAGGGACGGTTGCTTTCCTCCATTTAAGTTACCTGTTTTGCATGAATGCTTAAGAAATCATTAAAATAAAGTCTATAAAATATTTGGATTTTTATTTGTTCCTAGAAAATTTATTTTATAAAATCATGGATTAAGTCTGCGCCATACAATTAATTACTGTAGGAGAAATGTTTGTCCGGTCGTAAAACGAACGAGCACCAATCATATTAAGGTTTTAATGCCGACATAAAATATAGCCTCAAATATTTACAAAATCGTATACAGTTTTATAGATTAGGCTAAATAACTAAAAGTTCAAGAAGGTTCAATCAAAAAGAACAAATAAAAAACATAGACTATCAAATATAGAACATTAAAAAAGTAAATTAATTTTGACAATTGACTATAGGAACAGATTAGAAAAAACTACAGTTTTAAATTTCGAATTTTTCACGTCGCGTAGATTATATCTAAGCACAAACGAAGCGCTTCGAGCTTTAAGTTCCATTTAATTATTATAATAAGTGGGCCGTTAAGTTTCCATTGGATATTGAATTTCCATAACTCAAACGATTGTGCAATGCAAGTTGCAACCGTTTAGTTTCCAAGTGTTTAAACACAGTTTTATTGAATATAAATGAGATTTTACTATCAGAGCAAATAATTTACAATTTCCTTTAAGGTTTAAAGATACTCGAAATACAATTGTTTATAAAGGTTGTTTGTCTGTCCTGAAAATATTGTAGCCGTGCTAATCTATTAAATAAAACCTAAAAAAAGTAACTCTTTAACGACTGATTTAAAGAGGCCATTTTTTATCTTTCGTTTGGATCTGTGGAGGAAGGAAGGTGCTGCTCAATCTAAAGGAAGGATCTTAGACTTATCTAACCACTGACTGGCCGGCCTGAAGTAACCTAAGCTTAGGCGAGAAGTTTAATATTTTAAGTAAATAAACTTTAGAATAATTAACGATTAAATATTAAACTTTTGGTTATAAGGAGCCATTTCTAAAAACTACCGATTTGATAAAGCAAAGTTTTATAAGTTACTACTCAACCGGGATCAATGCTTAAAACTTTAAGGAAAACCTACCAAATATAAATAATCCTACAGAGGTTCAGTGTCGACTCTTGGTGAAATATTTAATACAATATCTGGACAATGAGAGTAAATCTTACACGAACATATGTAATTTAATATTCCTTCAATTTAATTAGTTGAGATTAATTTATTATTAACTTTGTTTAATAAGATCAATGTGATTTTATTTATATTTAATGATATTTAAAACTTCTCGTTATCATCATAAATATTTAAACAAAATAGTCGGTTTAAAAGTATACTAATAAACATAAAATCTAATTAAATATTTGTATGGCGTAACCTGAAAGTTCACATTTTAAAGCAAAGGATTTCTTGCAGAAGATTTGCAAACAACAACAATTTTGATAAATATATGGTCGCTTTAAATAAGCCAACCCGAATATCTGATAACAATCAGAACACGTACATATTAAGACAATCTAATCAAGAAACATTTACACAAAGATGTTATAAAGTTAGTCTGTGTTTATTGAATTCGGTAATCTGTCAAAAGTACAAAGTAACGTTATCGGCTTATGGAACTACGTGATTTAAGAGAACTATCCGAAGATTATCATTGTTTTTTACCTTTCATGAGGTATACCAGTAATGCAATTGTGGATCATAAAAATAGATACATAAATCGTGGTATAGGTCATAAAAAAACTACCAGCGGCAGTAAAATCTTCTCTTCGTCTTGGTCTTAGATTTCTGTATTTGTTTCTTGATATTTTTTTAATAAGATAAGTAGTTCAGTTTTTAATTCCACCCCACCTTGACCACGTTCGACGACAGAACGCTTTATAGACATTTCTTGCCGCACCCCACCAATTTTATGTAACAAGCTGACATTCCAGGTATTTCCGAACTGTTATGACTTAGGGACCTTCAAGCGAAGAAGACTGAAAATCTGGCAACGCACTTGCAAACCTGGTGTTACGAGTGTCTATGGGCGGCAGTGAACTTTAACTTTAAGTGTTATTTGCCCCAGGTAGGTGATCAGCCTTCTGTGTCCGACAATATCGATATTTTTCGGGTGGTGGCTTGGCAGTTTTGTCTCGACGTTTTCACCTTACGGGGGACTGTTACATGCGTTATATACAGAAAAGTCTATCGGTGCACAGCGAACGAACCTACGAGCTCAAGTCACTAGGCAATAATGAAGAATTTAGCCAAACAGAATAGTAAGATAGGTTTTTCTATGACAAACTACAAACAAAGTATGAACAACTTAACGGAAGCACGAACATTGTACTTAAGTAAAAATTGAATTATCGAATACGCGTACACGAAAACTATTGTACTCGTAAAGAGCGTACTGTGACCGGAGCTAAAGTTTTTATATTACAAGCAAAATACAACATTTTCTAATATTAATATTTTGTATTATGAGAAATGATATATTAGGTTCTTTTGAAAAGGATACAATATTTTTATAATGTAATATGTTCTTTGTGAATTGAAGGGACACTAATTTACTTTCTTGAGATTAAGTTAACGTTAGGACGTGAAATTATATTGAAATACCAATGGTGGGTGTAGTTGGGTATTTACCATCGTAGTCACAATGGTGGAATAAAGAAAAAAGGAATTTGATTATTATATATTTATTATATAAATCTTATATTTTCATTCCATTGGATTTTCTTTGGCGGATATAAACGCGATTATGTTACGCTTGGAGTTCTTCTTAGGAACTGAGAAGGACTCAAAACGTTGATTTAGGTAAATAAAGCATTTTGGCGTTTACGAAATTTTTTAAAGCGTTCACCAGAGATAATATTATATACATGAATAAATTTATACCTTTATTTATTTATAAAAATGAGTTGCAAAAAATATTGCTAAGCTTTTTTATTTTTTTAATTATTTATTTCTTGAACTCTGAGTATGAGTTATGGATAGAAAAAAATTGCTCGGGAAAACCTAAAAACCAGTTTTATTCCGGAACTATAACTAAAAATATGATACGAAAGTAGAATCCTAAAGTAGAAACCTCATATACGAATTTGTGGTAACAAAAATTCAACATAAGAAGATATTATAAAAACCCCGAAATATGTTTCTTTTTCGCAATTTAAAATTATATTATTCGTCACAACATAAAGCTATCATACTAATAACATAATAAGAGTATTAAAGGTGGAGCGTAATTGCCTTTAAGGAAAATCGTGCCAGTTGCAGTATATAAACTGCTTATAAAGACTATTTTTGGTTGCATTATTAAATTAAAATGTCTACGAGTAGATATAAGTATACATTTTAACATATTTCATGTTCGTGACATATTCTTTACACATAAATATATTTTATTTAGCTGGAGGCTACTTTTGTCGTGTTTAGCTTTTTATTATTGTTTATTTTGACATATTCCTGTGGCTTCGTCTATATTAGAACAAAATTTACGTTTATTTGTGTAAATTTTAAAAAGAAGGAAATATGGCCTATACTCCGGGATAATTTTGCTCTCTAATGGTAAAATAATTTTTGCAATCGGTCCGATATTTTATTCGTAAGACAAATACAAATCTTTCTTTTGTTCTGTCAACAGTTTTGTTCACAGAGTTTTAAGTTAAGTTTTAAAGATACGAAGAAGTGGACTTTACATAAAATATATTCTTTCGTATTGTACACTGGTTCTTGATTTGAAATATATCTAACATTTTCCTCTTCCATTAGTTAATAAAGGGCATTTATATTAAGTAGTGTGTTTTTTAAAAACAAAACGTTTTGGTGCGTTCAAAACCTGAGAGGCACGTTTAAAACCTACCATACTCTAAGTCTCTAATTTTTTTATATAACATCGGAATTCCCTTTTACTGGGATGTTAATAGTAGAGTTGGTTTTTAACTTAAAAGAAAATATATTGTTTAACAAGAAATACTTATTACAGATATTATAATTAGATTACAGTTAAAGAAAGTCAACAAGTTCACAATTATTTTCCTTAAATCAAAATTGAAACTTTTCTGTCACGTGACTGCTAACAAAAGACATTGTTTTCTGTGAATACTTTTAAATTGTTTCCAAAGAGTACTTCATTTGAGATAAATTCACAGCCCGGTGCTTTGGGGTAAAGATTTTAGTACAAACCCTTTGAATTTCGATATTTTAAAAACTATTGTAGATCCTAAAGTGAGAACCCAATATATGACCTAAGATTTTTAGACACTGTGGAATAATAAAAATCCATGAACAAGTTCGATATTCGCTCAAGGAAAACTTTTTTGCCTCTGCCCTGGGAAGAAGTGTCGAACATTCAACGCATACGAGACCGATAAGTAACCTAAAATTTCGGACAGTTCGCGAACATAATATATATGAGGAGAACGGACCTCATATATTGTTTCGGGCCTTGTTCATTATTGACCCTAAAATCTCAAAATAACATCTGAAAATTGCAAGATAAAAAGGTATTTTTGAACAACCTGTGGTGTGATTGCTTGGTTCCATAAATTTAAGATAGGTGTTTATATTTCTGTTTGTTTAATGCTTTCGTTTTTGTATTGATTTAATTGTTTTTCTTTCAACTTTATAGTTTCTAAGTAAAGGGATTTGTACTGTCATGTAGCCCTTCAGGTACCAAGGTTAAACTCCTTAGTGGTTTTTGGTGATGTGTACTCGATACTCTTCGTTTTTTATAATGTTTAGCAATAGAAACAATAGTAGTACTTCTCATCCATGAAATATTATTTATTGATTAATTTAAAAAGAAACATGTGTGTGTACTTACGTACACGCGTTAGAAGTTATACTTCTTTGGTGTAACATGAAAATTTATTTTTATTTTTTTTATCTTTCGCCTAAATGTAGAATACGTTTCTAGAAAAAACGACAATAACAATAGAAAAAAGGTATTTAATACATTGAAAGTTTTATTATAACGCATTATCTAGTTAAATAAAGTTTATTTAAATATCCCAAAAAAGTATTTCTACATAATTAAAGAAATGGACATTTTTTATTTTATAATGTTAATTGTGCTAACTTGAGGGTGTCGGTTATTTGTGACGGTGTGCGCGGCGCGCAACGAAAAAAAATATTCTCATTATTTTTCCCTAACGCGCCAAAAGAAGTATAACTTCAAAAAATTGGTGAGCATCAATAATAGTAAAAATAATTCAGAGCATTGTTGGCCTAGTGGCTTCAGTGTCCGACTCTTATACCTGAGGTCATAGGTTCGGTCCCCGGCTCTGTACCAATGGACTTTCTTTCTATGTGCGCTTTAACATTTCACATTTGCTCGAACGATGACGGAAAACATCGTGAGGAAACCGACATGTCTTAGACCTAAAAAGTCGACGGCGTTTGTCAGGCACTGGAGGCTAATCACCTACTTGCCTATTAGATTTAAAAATGATCATGAAACAGATTCAGAAATCTGAGGCCAAAACCTAAAGAGGTTGTAGCGCCACCGATTTTTTTTATAATTCAGATGGTTACATTACCTGAAGCTCCTTCAGTAAGGCAGATGATAAGCAGAAGTGATAGGCAGGCTGTGGCGGCCGCGCTGGGCAGGCATGCTCTCGTTGTCTTCTGCATTGTTCTTTCTGTGTTTCCTGCTACAAATATTTCGATAGTTTACGCTTGTTTATTCCGACTAATTAAATATACAAAAGTAAGGTATTTAAAAAGGAACCTAATTATTTAGCAAAACAAAAGAACCTATTGGCAGTGGAGTAGGGACAATACTGAATTTCTGAAGAGGGAAAAAGGAGCAAAGAAAGTAATGTTTAAGGTACAAAAATAGTTAAAGAAGCCGAAGGTACCGCGAAAAAAAGGAAGCTTTGGAGGCCTATGCCGGAATGCAAAGCAACTGTGTTACTTAGATTAATTTAATTTATTTGCATATTTCTTATACGTAGAAAAAATCATAAAAATAGATTCTCATTAATCAAACGTATCATAGTATTTACAATTTGATAGAAGATAATACAATAATGTATTTTTAACTGTAAGAATAACTAATCTTCAATCGAATTGAGGTTCGAAGTTGGAGAAATCATAAAGTACCCTAGTAAACTTAGTAAACAGAATAAACAGTCGATTATAACCGATGTGTTTTGATTAAAAATAACAATATTATTACAAGATTGTTTAACCTCTGTTTGTTTATTATGATAATAATAATAATTCCGTTGGAAATCTTTGATAAATTATTATATTTAGATTAGAAACACTGGAACTATTGTCTTCTCTTAATATTATTTAATGGGGACTGTAAGTAGTGTTATTGGACACATTCTTATATAAAATATCTTTTTTTAGCAAATTAGGTAAGTTTTGAATTACTTATTAGTCATAAGTCAGGCTATTTATTTCGTAATCCTACAGCTAACAAAAATTACATATAAAATCTAATAGTTAAACTAAAAATAAAGCTAAAGATGGATTACACAATATTTACTAAACGCTTCAAACATTAACAAAAGGGAAAAAAACAACAAAAAATATTTAATAAATTTAACTAAGTAATACCTAATTTGGCTGTGTTTTGTGATGGTGTAAAAGTGAGGGTATGTACGTGAATGAGTGTATGTGGGGCATGCTCATAATGCAGGTGATTTTGGGCTATGGATATTCTTAACACTTCTTTTAACCATACCCCGTAATCTCTCGTAATGTTAAATGATGTCTTTGTGCTAGACAGTTAAAAAAAAGGAAATGAAGAGCCAAAAAATTCTACGCCTTTTCAGTTAATTCTAGGCATCTTAGTAGTGTCATTTAGGTAACGTAGTGTACCAAACTTTTATGAACGTCAAAAAAATTTGAAATTACTCTAAAATTAGATTTTCCAATACCTTTTCTACATTTATTAAGTTGGGTTAAAATGAAAAGCCTCTATTTTATCGTGTTCAAGAAGTAATTATGTAGTGGTCATATACTGACAAAGTTCCTGTAGTCTCGACATTTTATTGTTTTCAAAACGTATAAATCTTTTCTAATCGCAGACTCCGCAGAGAACTGAGCAATGTTTTAAGGTAAAAGCTGATAGTGATAATATAAGTTTTACGGTAAATTTGTCGAATCACGGCTCCATCTTTAATCAGCAGAATAAAGGCAAATAATTTTTAAAGCATGCAAATACTAGGTATAGGCTCAGAATATGATTTTGTCCCATTCGGTGTCGAGACCCTTGGTCCGTGGGGTCCTGGCGCTTTAAGGCTTTTTAAAGACATATCAAAAAGGTTAGTCGACATCACAGGAGACCGAAGATCTGGCAGCTACCTTGGACAAAGTATTAGTTTAGCGATTCAAAGGGGGAACGCTGCCAGTATCTTCGGAACCTTGCCTAAAGGGACTCCTTTTAATAATATATTTTAGTTTATGTTAAGGTTAGTTTTTTTTTCTTTTAATGTATATTATTTTAGTTATTATATCTTAATTATTATATTGAATTAGCAAGAATATCACTGTAGTACACCATGTTTTAAAGTTTAATGATCTTCCACAAATTATTGTTTTATTTAGATTAAAGTGAATACCATACATGCGCTAATAATTAAAAATATTTCAGGCACAGAGACAAATGTGTGCCATGGCATTTATTCTAGAAAAAAACCAAATATAAACCATAATAATACTATTAAAAATTAACGATCATAATATGTGTGTCTATAAAAATAGCGGAAAAGGTGGCTACATTGTTCATGTGCTTGCAAATACAAATGTGCTTTTGCTTAGAACATTGAATTGAATATAAGGACAAAGCTGTGTTGCGTTATGTACTTAAAATCATTATCTATGTACTTCATAAAATATATTCAATAAATTACTGTGTAACTCCAAAAACTAATCAATTGATTGGTTTCATTTTAGATCATTACATTCATATTACATTGTAGTACAATGAACAATTCTCGCCTTTTAGACATTAAAACATATAAATCACGTTCAATTTTAAATTGTTTTCACTTAGACCTCAACGGTACGTACAAAGAAATGGCATTTATCTAAACAATGGATTTGCATGTCTTTGCTATGACGTGCTCTGGCGACTAGCTTTGAAAGAAAACTATAAAGTGGGTAATGCACGAGATAGTTAATTTAAAAGAACATTCATAAATTACATTGAATAGAAGCGTTGACAAATAATTTATTTTCGCTTTGTTAACTCCACAGACGATAAACAATAAATTATAAACCCCACAATCATATGGCGTCACCACAGGCGTCATCAATGGCCATTTTTACATTTGTTAAATTGGTATATTTGTCTATGGCCAAGTAGGTGATGAAGTTTTTGTGCCACACTATATTCCGTGGTCTAAAACTTGCCATTTTCTATTTTTTAAAGTGTCATTTTTGCACATAGGATTAAGAGTAATGTGCCATACTCTGTGCCACATGCTAGGGATAGCAATTTCAACAAAAAAATTGAGGTTGTGTACAGCGCGATTCGAAGGTTGCAATATCGCTTCTACGGATATTGAGTGAATTATATCAAAATTGCATGCTATATACTGCTATATAATGTCAACGCCAAATCGAATTTAATTTATTTTTATAAAGAGAGCTAATTGAAGGTTGTGGGTATGTAAGACATGCGGTTTCCAGTTGAAGTGACCGCTGCAAACTCTAGCGTGTAAAGAATATATATAGAATGCATATGTATATTTATTAGTATTTACTGGAATAAAACATTATTTAATTATTTATATTTATACTAAAACTTCGACACTACGCTTGGAAGTTAATAACTGCTCATATCATCACGATTTATATTTAAAATATTTAAATTTTATTTATTTATTCATCATAACAATAAAATATACAGTATTTAAAATTTTCTTGACCTACATAGCAATAATAAAAATAAGTGAAAATTAAAAATAAACCTGAAATTATATTTCTTTCTTTATGTAGATTTTGAAAATGAACATCGCTTGTCATTTTTCTGTAATTTTAATTGCCTGACATGTTGTCTCCGGGCCGTAATTTAGCGAATAAAGTAAAATAAGAAAATTATATTTTATTATGGAGATACTGTGTTAAAATCTAATAATGTGATGATATTTAACAATAAATAATTTTTGATTTTTTAATCGACATTAATTGGGGAATCCCTTGAGTCAGCCGCGGAAATTGTAATTTAGAAATTTGATTGATGAACAAATTTTGAGGGAAGTGATAATTGAGAAATATTGATATAATTTGTATTGTGATTGACTAACCTATTGGTAATAACGAAATTTCGATGCCATACTCATTTTAAGTATTATTTGTATTCAAATTTGCGGTGTTGAGAAGTGTGGGAAGACCACGAAACAGTTGATGTTATAATTAAACTGTTATTGGATGAAATAAAAAAGAATCAAAACGTATATCTACGAAATAAATGATTGTCAACTGAGAGGCATAAAATAATATTAATAACTCTCGTACACGAAGTATGTAATAGCAAAACATTCATTTCAATATAGAACTAAAACAATAATTTAAACTATTAAGATTTGTACTTAGAGTCGTAATACCATCCACGTGGTATTCCTTCTGTATTTTTTTGAATCGATCATATTTAAATGTAAAATTTCAGTCAACATATATTCTTGTAAGTTATGCTTGTAAAAAAAATACATTTATTTCCAGAACGGACGAACGGGTACTTGTTCCGTTTCTGCTTTAAGTTTTGCTTTTAATTATATTCAAAACAAATGACTATCCGAGTTAGCAATTATAAGTTATGTTACAGAATTAACTTTTAAGGGTTAAATAGTTTCAACATTTGTACGTTTGTAGTTATATATTGTATTAAGTTTTCACATCATTAGTGGAGATTTTTTACCCTCTTGACCACCCGGAATTATTTGTAGGAATGATTTTATTGTATTTTCTGTTACTTAAACGTTTATCTCCATCTTGTCCCATTCACACATTTTGGCTACATATTAAACTTTTTGTAAGATTTTTTGTAATAAATGTTTATAAAATAAATAAATGATTAATACATAAAAGTAGTAGTGTTCCAAAATCGTTTTATTATTTGTTATTTCGAAATTATGATTTGTAATGTGAAATTTGGATTACGCAACAACGTATAAAATTCATAATCTTACTGATACCTTGGGACTCTATAGACTTAAGGATTGCTTTAGTTGTAGTATCCCTAGTGGATCTGCCATTGCTCAAACAGACACTACAGAGGCGAAGGAAACTGGAAAAACCTGAACCAAAATAAAACAGTCTCCGCAAGACAGGTATATTAGTAAGTCACCCTTGATTTGCATTATTTTATAAAAAAATACATAAATAACTGTTGTATTAAATGTTTGTTAAAACTTATGAGACGTTTAAATATGAGATATATTTATAAATTACTAGCTGCCCCCGCGAACTTCTTTTCTCCTTAATGTGATGTTACTTAGCCTACCTTTTTAGTACATACAAACATGGAACATTTTGCTATACTACCCCATAGACTGTTCGGTTTTCCGGAATGAAATTTTTTTAGGTTGTTCTGTGAATTTTTCTCTATATAAACCTCAGAGTTCATGTCATAAGTTTTAAACTAACATATATAAAATAGGGGTGAATTGTAGAGG